ATTTTGTTATAAAATTGGAAGTATTACGATTTTTGAAACATACTAAACTTCGTATGATTAAACATTAAGCAAAATAATAATTGGGTAAGCTGTCTTTAATTATGCATAGAACTTTTGCTTGGTAGCCAAAACTAACTAATAAATCTAACTTATTTATTTACCACTTTACTATGCATCAAAAATTTCACGGTATTCGGAAATAAAGAAGATTGTATATTTAATGAATTTTCTGCTAAAGCTTTTAAATGTGAGGAAATTGAAAAAGACAGACCAAGAAAGTAGAATTAATAATGCAAAATAAAATGATGCTTACGATCGTCTTCTTTATCAAACCTTATTGTCAAAGTTTTTTACTTGATTGTTGATAACCCTAAACAGTTGAACAAGTGGACAGCAAAGCACACTAAGTAAGCGTTTGTTCAAGAAACTGAGTAACTTTTTACAGGTAAACCAATTAAAAAGAAAATTTTTTTAAAATTTGAAATTGAAAAAGGAAAAAAAGAAGTAATTTAATCCTGAATTTTGTACATTTTATAACAGTAATAATATACAGACAAATGATTTTTTGCGTTATGTGTTTAGAATATGTCGTCGACGGCTGCGGCCGTTTTGTCGATAACCGAATCTTCTTCAAACAATGCAGCTATGTCGGGTGTCGATAAGGCTGCAGTACTTGCCGATGGCTCTGTGCTTCTAGTCGCTATTCTATTTGTAAGTATTATATTTCCACTCTTCCCAACTCTCATATCTATCCAAATATGTGTTTTCTATTGCTCATTTTAAATCGTGAAGTTCAACTGTTATCGGGAGCTACTGATGGTGAGGGTGTTTGTTGGGTACGGGTATCGTCAGTTCTAGTTCAGAAAAAAATTGTATATGTGACGTACAAAAATATTCAGTCGTTTCTTTTAAGACATTACTGTTGAAAGGCTGAACAAAAACCAAAGCCAAACATCTAAATTTGAATTGTACGACTGAGAAGTGCTGATTAAAAAATAAATAAAAAAAAAAATATATTTTTCATTTTACAGCTAAATCCATATTCTGATTTAAAGTAAGTTTAATGTTTTTCCTGCGAGTTTGAGTTGTCATTGTTTTAAAGTGTATAATTTAGTGAGAGTGATGATGATTCTCACTTTAACACAAAAACAATAAAACAGACAAGTGCTTTTTTTTTCTTTTATTATTGTTTTTTTCTTGTTTTTCAGCTAGCCGTGCTTTCAGTGGCTTTGATCTCAATATTACTGCAGTACAGATGCCATTCACAAGAAATGGTCATACCACTGCCATCCACAACATCGGCACAATGGGCTTATGCTTCAACAAGTACGTCGTATACACTTAATTCATTGAAATCATATAGGGTATAGAAAAATTGTTGTTTATACAAGTAGATTTTTTTTCTTATTTTTTTTTTTATTTATTTTCATTTTTGTTGCTGATTGTTGGTGTTGTTTTTGTCGTTGTTGTTGTTGTTGTTGCTGTTCCTGTTGCTGCTGTTGCTGCTGCTGCTGTTACTGCTGCTGCTGCTGTTGCTGCTGCTGCTGCTGTTCTTGCTGCTACTGCTGCTGCTGCTGTTGCTATTGTTGTTGTTGTTGTTGTTGTTGTTGTTGTTGTTGTTGTTGAAGGTACTGAATCTTTCATATTCGCTAATAAGGTAATACATGTCAACCATTTAGTTGATTTGTATATTTTTTTCCATAGTAATTTTTTTAATGTCTTTTTAATCTTCAATATCTATTTAGCGTCGCCTAATTCACTGCTGTTAAATATACACTTATAATAGATTTTTTATTTTTAACAACTGATTTTACTTAAGGTTTACGTAATCTTTTTTTTTTTTCATTATTTAACAAAATTCTGCTAATGTATCTGGATATTATTCTATGAAAGAAAACTGTAAGGAGAAAAAAGAATGACAAAAGTAGGAGCTAGGAGAAAAATTGCTGACAAATTATTATAGGCTTATCCACAAACTAAACTGAGCATGTGATACTGATTAGACATTTCGACGACACTGTTGGGCGGTTACTGCAGTAAACCAATGATAGTGAGGAAACTATAAATAGTATTCTTTTCTCGTTCTGAGCATTTTTAGCTCATTGATTTTGCTAAATAAAATGTCGGATGGGAGTCAAGGCGAGAGTTTTTGCATAATAATTTCTTGCCGACGTTGAGTATTAATCATAGATGTGTTAATATCACTACTGGCTGGGTTCTGTCTATCTATGTGTTTGTCTGTGTGTTTCTGCGTGTCTGTGTGTTTGTGTGTGACTCTGTGTTTGTTTGTGATATGGCTGATGACTCATCGCCTGAACTACACTAAGTTCTTAGTTTGTATTAGTCAGTTCTTCAACCTTATTTAAGCATCATGTTCGCCTTATCACCATATGCTTCAGCTTTCTCGCAAAATAATTTTTTTTT